TGAAATAAGCAATTAGGAGTGTGAAAGTGAGGTAAAGTGACAAAGATTAACCCTCTTGTTAACATTTCTGCCCTTGAGCCTGAGTCTCTCTTAGTTAATTAAATGAGACCTCAGATAAGGCCTGGCTAATAGTCAGCCCCTAAAGCTCAACTTCCTCCTCATTTCTTTCTCCCCCAACTAGTCATCTTAATTTATTACTGAAATATAAAACTTTCCACCAGCTCTGTTGGATTGGTTTGCTCCAGCTAAAGCCAAATTTAAAGCCCCATTCTTTTGTTGCTCTCCTCACCCTTGCTGCTCCAAATAAACTTGCGCACATTAAGCCAAATAACGAAAGCTTTCCACATCTCTCATCGACCGGTTCTTACGCCGTGGTCAGTAGATAGACACTAGACTGGAGCACAGAGACAGAGTTAAAAAATATGAAGGGGGGAGGGGGAGATCAATAGTCTCAGAGATGTTTGTGAAGATGAGTGGAAGGAGAGCACCCAGGTGACAGCTTCCCTATAGAGCTGCCAATCAGGCGCTCAGCACCTGCTGACTCTAAAAAAGACACTTCTGACCAGCTGAGAACTTATTGATCTCAAGTCCCACATTCCTTCCGCACCATTCTCCTGCCGTCTTGTTTACCCCGGCTTTTTATTCACCTTGTCAGCTGTACGCTCTTGTCAGACTTTATCTTTTTCTTTTTGCCAGCCATGGAGTACCGACATCCTCATCAATGAAGGATTTCAAGCCGTTTTTTTTCTTCCAGCTCAGAGAAACTCAGTTTAAGGTTCTGGCCTCAATAATAGAGGAGCTAAGTTTAAACTTTTTGTTTTTTTTATGAGGAAATAGTTACAGCAACCAGCTTTATCAACACTGACGCCACTTTTCATGGCACAACAACTTTTAATGTTAACTATGCCTGTTTTGTGGGTTTGTCTTGTTTTTAATAAATGTTATTGGTTTAAAGGACATTATTTTGGTAATTATTATGTTTAAGTTTATTTACAATTAAAGAGGTTATATAACGCAAAAGTGAGTTTACCTTGTTGTAGATGAATAACGATAGTTCAGTGGGTGAAATGGATGTAAAGGGAAGTTCAAACCCCATCGACACACTAGTTTAGCTGTTTAGCCTACAGTTGGGTTTATTTCTACAAGAATTACAAAGCAGGCAGTTTCTCTATTTAAAATCTGCCAGAACTGTCGTATCGGGCGTAAATGCAGTGTTACCGGCTGCACGGAGAAAGGGGAAATTTTTCAGTCTTCCCAAGGAGCTGAAGACTCGACAGGCATGGATTATTGTTGTCCATCAGAAGATCCCTGCAAAATTTGATGCTCAGCTGTTCATTTGCTCTGAGCATTTTACCGAAAACAGCTTTCAAAATCTCGGACAGTTCAAAGCAGGATCTGCTAAACTTCTTTTACTGAGCACCTGGAGCACTCCAGGTCTGCACTGTAGTCCTGGACTGTAGTCTACAGCTGCACTTTAGTTGACCAAAATCCCGGATGATCTTGAAAATCCCCCCAGACATTTTTTTAGGTGTGAAAAGTAGGACATGTCCGGGAAACAGAGGACGTCTGGTCACCCAACAATAGCAACAATCTCGATGTTTCAGTGAGTCAGTGCTTGTTGCTATGATGCGTCTTTGCTCGGCAGCTTTGCTCATTGTAAACCAACCAATCAGCTCATCTAAATATATTCATAATCATACGATCAAAGGAAGAAAACCTGTCGTTTTATTCTAGAGCTTTTAACCAGGTTTGCATTAGGGCGCATAGAACAGCAAATATGCCATTTTCAGCCCAATCAATGTTACACACCCTATTCAGAGACCTTAAGGACCAGCACCAAATACCCAATATATCATTCTATGACCCCTTTAATCTGTAGTATACCGAACTCATGAGAGCAGAAATTACATTGCAATTATTTCTGCAATAATAACTATTAATCTGAAGATTCTGGTTTTGATTAATTGATTAATATCGGATGACCAAAGAAGATTTTACTGAGAATTTAAACCAAGTGAAGCTAAAACTGAGCCCTGTAAAGACTTTAGCATAGAGCACCTTAATGGACTAAAAGTATTTCATCTTTATTACAAGATGTCTGGATATTTTTTTTACCATTTTTGTATATTTACTGCTCTAAGTTGGTTGCACTGTCAGCTAACGGTATGTTTTAGAGTCTTTATACTCCAGATAAAGATTAATCGATTACTAAATCAGTTGACGATTATTTCCAAAATCGATTAATCATGATACATCAGATTAATTATTTCAGGTCTATTTGCATCAAATAAAAGTGATAAAATTTCATGAAAATATTTTTAGCAACACTGAGTATCTTTGTGAGTATGTAATGAGTGTTAATTAGTCTAGAAATGTTATTCTTTAAGCTTATTTTACTCTGTAGTGTATGTAATTCCCTGAAAAATATAAAACTCATTGTTTTAATGTTTTTCACAAATAGAAGCAAGGATTCATGAACCTTAAACTATGGATTAAAAAAAAAACCCTTTTAGGTTAAAGATCTCAAAATATCAGTTTCCAAACAGGACCTTCTTGAACATAGCTCGTATGTTAAAAACATTAGTTTTCGGATTTGATTTAACAGATTCAACTTGAGTTTATTGTCAAAATGGGTCCATTAGATTTAGATCACATAATATATAGCACATGCTGCTCAACATTATCTTCTTTATTATCAACATTTAACTCTTTTCTGTCTAGTAACATGAAATCCTGTAAAAGCAATGAGGGGTTCAGTTCGCCATTGAATATTTCATCATGATTAATACAGCGGGGTAGGCTCCTTGTGAAAACGCCCTTAACTTGACCACAAATAGCATCAGGTCATTACAATTCTAACTCTAAAAGTTCAGAAAATGACAAAAATTCAAATACCTACGTCTGTGCAATTATCCCTTCACAACTAATAGCCTTGCCATGGAGGGTAAGGAAGAAGAAAGAGACAGTAGGAGCTTTAAGAGCGTAAAAACAGATCCAGTGAATCTGTGTCAAGTTTGAAAGGTGGTGTAAAAAAGAGGTGTGAAGGTTAAAATAATGAAGGTAGAGAGATAAGAAAAGAAGCTGAGACAGTTCAGATCTCTAAGAGCTTTCTTTAAATAATCAAACACTGATGGACCATTCCTGTTATTTTAAGCTAAATCAGCTTAATCTTAAAAAGAAAAATCTGTTTTCACATTGTGCTTGACATATTTGTTACTTGTTTTTAGCTTAACCATATTCTCCTGCTTGTAAACAAGGACATAAAGTCACAGTCAAAGTCCAGCTCTAAACCTGATAATCTGCTGGAACCATTGAAAGTTGATTTTCCCAAAAGACTCCATCAAAACTGACAGAGTTTGAGGTATTTTGCAAAGTAGAAACCTTTAAAAAACAAAGTCTCTAAACAGGTACAGGAAAAACCTGAAAGACTAACTGGTTAGGTGGCAAAATGATATGAAAAAAGGTTTAATCAGTATAAATACTTCTACAAGGTACCATTGCCTTCCATGTGGATGTCTTTAAAAAAGGAATAATAAAGCTATTTCTGCACAACAAATATTCCTCTGTGTGTTAAAAGGTGTATGTTGCCCATAAAGGAACAGTCATTACTGCATATTAGGAGAGGCCATTTGAATTGAAGCCAAGGTGACGTTCAACAGCACAGGGGATCTGTATTTTACTTGATACAGCTTTGTTTTTTGACTTTTTTTATAGTGACTACATCTGTATTATTAACTGTGTTTTGTGTGCCTGTTTACTCCAGATTTGGGTTTTATATAACAGAAATTCTTTCTAAGTTAAGCTACTCGAGTTAAAGTTTTGAAAATGAGTGGAAGGATGTACTTTTTTTTCCCCTTTAATTGACAATTAATTTGACAGTTTCCCTTAAAAACCATAAAAGGAAAAATGTTTTTGTGTTAAATCTTGAATGTTTAAAGCCTCCCTCTACTTCCTAAAACCATGTGTGTGATGAAGCTGGCTTCAGGGAGCTGTAGGTGCCGGGCGGCTAAAGAAGATGTCGGATAGATTCCTACAGAGCGGCCCATGCAGTGTCTGTGGCGGTGCGGCTTGAGGGACAGGTCTGTGGGGAGCTGATTGCACTGCCTCTCATTATATGGCCGCTGGCTGTAATGGAGTGTGACAGCAACGTGCTGTGCTCTGGATCTCTGTCCTTCCAGCCTGCAAAGCCAATTAAACACACTTTTCCCTTCTCTCTCGACTGCCTGGCCCCGCTCTGCTCTCAATCACTCCATCCTTTCGTGCTGCCTTCCCACCACTAGCATCAGCACCTCAGTGCCGCCCTGTCTGACTCCACCCTCCGTCTTTCTGAAGTCCGCAGCAGCCACATCTCCAAGCTCAAAAAGAAAAAGTACTCATTCTGTAAGAACTCCACTTGCATCTGGCCTTTATGACCCCCCGCACACCTTATCCTTCCTGTGCCAAGTTAAAGCCTCTCTCTGAGTGGTTTTACAGTAAAATATAGTTCCTTTTTGGGGCTGAAGATGGAAGTGGTGGCCTGCAGGGATGAAAAGCCTCAGATGACAGCTTCTCACTGTGCTACCACACACACACTAGAAGAAGAAAAAAACACAGGACAGAGAGCTCTACTCGGTTCCTGAAGACCCAGAGCAGTCACAGCCACTTAGGAGGAAAAATTCCCTGCGGCGCCAAGAACACACATAAGGACACACATACTCCATTTATCACTCCCTCATAGTGCCCTAAAATGTGAGCACATAAACTCAGTGTGAGTGTTTACTATCTGAACGGCTCTGCTGGTTTTTACAGGTTTAAAATCAGGCCTGGAAAAGTCCAGCTTGGAACTTGAATAAAAACAAACCTCTGCATTTTGTCTTGCTCCAGTGGATTACTCTGACCGCCCAGATTATGCTAGCTGCAACTGTTAGACGAATGTCTAATTTCAGCTCATCCCTATTTCCAGAGTGTGAGTGAATAGGTATGTGGACATAATGGTAAAGGCATGCGGTTTTGGTTGGTACCTGTTTTGAACCAGCCGTCATCAGTAAAAGCCTCTCTGGTCTCCTGGGGTCTGTTCCAGTACTCCTTGAAAACAGACGGACCTCGAACCAGCAGCTCTCCTTCTTTACCCTCAAGACCTGGACGTACCTGATGGAAATTCAAAACAGAGAAAAAAAAAAAAATGGAATCCAAGAGTGGATAAAACAATCTTAATAATAATAATAATGTCTGAGCTGTCATACAGAGCTAGAAACTGATATCAACATTGGAGAGTCTTCAGACTAATAAGACTAATCCACTTTAGAGGTAGTTTCAAATAAGTAATTCTTTTTTTTTTCTAGCAGTGGCATTATTTTTAATATCAATCTTCAGTCCAGATGCGTGCTCCGGTTCCTGAATGCCTAGCCCACCAACAGCATGTACATTAACGGCTTTTACTAAGGGATTATAAAAATCACTAGCACTAAAAGGACAAAATATGCATTGATACTTTGGGATGATATTGTAATCCTTTTGTTTTTGGTTGGGAGCAAAAGTACAACTTCCATTAAGAAGTCTGCAGAGTAATATTTTCTTTTATATTTTAAAATCCTTTAAAAAACAGGTTTAGTAGAAACAAAGAAACTGCTCAATCAGATAAAAAAAACCTTTGTTGAGCAGGAAACCAAGCTTTTTGCATTTCTACTTTTAACCTCCTGTTGCTTTACTTCTATCTTCCTAAAGCTTTGAGGTGAACTAAGAGCTGCTAATAGTATATAATCAGTATACACATTTTTTTTAAACAAATCTATAGTTTTTTTGTTTGTTTTTTTGGTTTGATGTATGATGGTTTGAGAAGCGGAAATAAATAAAACAACTCTTAAATTAAGTGTATTTACTCTTAATTTTAGTAGGTAAATGAGATAGTTCGCCTATGGAATGAGTATTTTTACTCTTAAAATAAGATAATTAGATAATATGCACTTGAGATAAGATAATGCAATTGATTTTTGTTATTCATCCGGTTCCATTGGCAAAGTGTCTCACTTTCCTTCTCAGCTCAAGCAAAAATGTGCTTATTTCAAGAAAAAATGACTTTAGATTCAAATTTTTTGCAGTGTATTATGCACAAGAGTCAAATCAGATGTGAAGGCTTCGATGAATGAGAACAATATAGCTACAATTACATGAGCAAAATTTCGCCCCTCCAATCTAAACCTTGGTTTAATGGAAATTGAAAATCTCTGTTTACATGGACTCTAAATAAAATGATCTGCTCATGACGTGTGTATAAAATGTACCAAGCGTACGATCAGATTAAATCATTTAAGCATGGGCAGAACTGTCTAATTTTCCAGAAAAACTGTGGAAAAATGTTACCCTGACATTGCAAACATGTAAAGTGGAAATCTTTTTACTCCATTATCCGAATTAGAGTGTACATTGATGCCAATCAGAATGGAGATCGGTAAAAACCACCTCTCTTTCAGAATGACATTTCTCTGTAATAGGAACAAAGGGGATTACCATCTCAAGTCTGACATGTTAACATGAAACATTTTTCAATCAGTGTCCATGTAAACATAGCTTATGATGTTGCACTATTTCTTTCTTCCTCAGGGCAATTTGTTTGAGTCGAGTAGTATGTTACGTACACATATATAGACTAATCAGAGATGTTACACACTGAAAAAAATAGAACTCTAAATAAGACTTTTTTTCTTAAAATAAGTGCATTTTTCTCTGGAATTGAGGAGGTAAGTTATACACTTTACCAATGCTACAAGACAATTTACATTTAAAATAAGAAAAAAACGCTTGGATTGTTTTATTTCAAGTGCATATTATCTAATTATCTTTGGGGATGCACGATATAATCGGCCCCCTATCGGTATCGGCCTGTGTCGGCCTTAAAACTGAATATCGGACATCGGCCACCCCACTGATATTTAACCCGATATTTGATCAGCTTCTAAGTTTCTAAAGTCTAAAAAAAATACTACTTCTTCTTCTTCCTCAAAAACTTCTTATTTACAGACTTAAAAACTTCTAAAGACGAGGGAAAAAATATTGATACATTAAAATATCACAATATCTTCATATGCTGATATATTGCCATTTAAAAACACCATATCAATCTCTTTTACTAATGAAATATTGCTATATGTCATCGTTATGCTACGAAATCCCCCGAAAATTCACGAAATGTTGATATATTGACGCGGTATCAATCTATTTTACTAACAAAATCTCACAAGAATTAGTAAAATATCACGAGAGTTTGCAACAGAACGATGAAATTTCACGAGATTTCGAAAGTAAAATAGATCGATACCGCGTTTTTAAAAATCAATTTGATATCAGCATATGAAAATATATTTGAGTATATTATTTTTCAAAGTGTCAGAAATAGATAATAAAACTGTTATTTTCAATGACTACTTATTTTTGTCCAGCTTTAACATCGGTATCGGTTATCGGCTACATGAGTTTTAAAATATCGGCATCCTCAAATTAAAGGTAAATACACTTCATTTAAGAAATTTCTACTTATTTCTAGGTCGTTTTGCAGTGCAATCTGAAAAAAACACTACCTGTTACGTTTTTATAAATGCATGGGGAACAAAATAAAACTGCACAACTAAAACATTCTGTCAGGATATAATGAAGACTGAAGTTATTCTTCGTAAATAAATTGTTTTTCTAACATTAGAGAAACCTTGTTATGGAAAGAGTGGTATGTAAAGCCATTTATGTCGTATATGGGTTCTAATTTTAATCCTGTCTGTGGCTAAATTGCTTCGTTATATGGACTTATTGATTTACCCGAGTTTCTCTGTGATTCCCCTCAGCAATCGTGGTGTTGGTTGCGTTATTCATGACAATCCGAACCTCTACATCTGGAAGAGGCAGCCCTACAGCTCCTGTCAACATCAAGACAAAAGGCAGGCAAAAAAACAATAGGATTTATTGAAAGGTTTTTCTGGAAAAATATCTGAAACAAAACAAAATGGAGAACAAGTGACACTAAAGTGCAGACTGACAACCTTCAGTTAAGCATTTCTCACGTAGCAGGCAGTCTGTCGCTCCCAGATGGCATTAACCTCCATCCTCTGGGCATAACTGGTCACTAAAAGGTTTGCTGAGCTTGTAAAACTGGAAGCAATTCGTCTCAGTCAACACAAACCAGCTCCGTTTGACAGTAATGGGAATTTCTTGGCCATGCCTGACGTAGCTTTTTTCCCTCCTTTCTCTTTAACAACATCAAGAAAAGCTAAAATAATAGAACAGTTGGGACATTCGTCTTTGGTTGCACTTATTTTATTTATTTGTTTTTTGTCTGGAAAAGCAAGTATCTGACTGCACAGAACAATTTATTTCTCAGTCTTAACTACTGCTGAGTGACAGAGTTTTCACTAAAGCAATATGGTAAAAACAAATCTGATTTGACAAGGAAACAAACAAGGACTTTTTTATAAGAGTGTGCAAATGCATGAAATATTAGCTTCTTCAAGGTTTACTGAAATTGCATTTTCCATCCTTATGTGTTGCAAATGTGACCTTTAGAGTTAAGTAAGTATATTAAGTATTGCACCAGAAAGGTCTTTGAGGTGTTTCGCTGTGCGCCTGTGTAGTTTAAGTGTGTTCATGCTTGCCTTTAGGCCACAGCACCATTTCAGAGACAACGGCTCTCCAAATGAAGAGCAGGTCAGGTCCTGATTACAGAACGAGTTTCTCACTTCTTATCGATCCAATCAATTAAGGTCCTGAATGAGGGACTGGAGTTGAATGGATCAATATGAGAACCAACTGAGCACAAAAGTAACCAGACCACATCCCAATGGATCACCGGGGTCACTAATAAGTGTGAGTCATCAGGTCAGACTAGATGAGTCTCACGGTGATGTTGCTGCAAGCAGTTGTTGCTTAAAAAAAAATTTAGTCAAAAAAGCCTCAAAAGGTAAGTTTCGAATTACATCAGGTAATGGAAGTCAGTTTGTTCCTCTTGTGACAGATAGAAATAGTGCTGATATGTAAACACAGAAAAAAAATCCCACAAGCTCAGATAGAATGAAGCAAGTATCAGCATAGTTACATCTCTATACGAATGAATGAAAAGCTGAGTAAAAAACACACCTTCAGCTAAAATTACCAATGTTATCTAAAAGGGAAAACCATACCTTTAGATCTTAAATAAACTATGAACCAAACTTGATTGTTTCCAAGAGTTAATAACAGAATACTTTTGTTTTCTCTCTGAAAAACCTCTTCACTGTATGTGACAGAATCAGTGGTTAAACTATGCTTCATCTGAAGAGCTTTGCATTTCTTCTTCTAAAATGTCTTCTTTTCTTCTGTTTTGCTTTTGTTTTAACAAGAGCAGGTTCCTTATATTATCATAACGCTGGACGTTACACTCCTGCAGTGTAAAACCAGGTTTATAAAACATGTGAAGCAGTTATGCAAACCCCATGAACCTGAGGGCATCCTGAAGAGGGCATAAAACCGACACGGTGTGCCACCAAAAACCCACAATGTTCATCCTTCATCCCACACTCTCTTCTTTTGCACCTTCTCGTGGACCGTCCCCGACTGCCATGAGATGACACCAACTTCAGATGGTTTGGAGCAAAATATAGAAACCGAGGACAACATTTAAAAAAAAAATCTTATTTTTCCTACTATCTATCAAGCTTTTTATACTAATGCTATTCTTCAAGCGCAGTAGCTGTTGATTAATAGCTAGAAGTATTTTGTTTTCAGACATGCATTTTTTTTGTTACTGTCCTATTCAAATGTAACGCTAAATATAACATTTTGTTCACATTTCTTCACCTAATGCTGCTAATTGTGTAAATTTTAAAATAAAATCTTTATAGCTACCAGCCATTATAATGTTAATATCCAGCAATTTGATGGGAAATTGTCTGGAGCAGTGATTCCAAACAGGGGGTAGTCGTACCCCTAGTGGTTAGTGTGTGCATTGCAAGGGGTACATGAAAATATATTATTTCTCAGGTGATGAAATAAAATAGGGCTGGGATCTGTTCTACTTTGTGAAGATATACCTGAAAAATGACCAAAAAGTATGTTATTATGTTTGAGTTCACCTTCAGCTTTATGCAAACATATCCAAACCAAGCAGAGGAGAAGAGTGGATGTAGAGAGCAGCCTGGGATCAGCTGCTTTTTCCACACCTGACCTCATCAAAGCAGCTTAGGTGTCATGAATGATGAAAACAAAGTAAAACAAATGGAGTCAGTATGATTTTGTCCCCAACTCCTCAAGTTTAAATGTGATTATAGTGCAGTTACTCAGAGGAGCTCCAGTTTTATAAAGGCAGAGTTATAGAATGATTTTATTTTGCATTTATTTTGATTCCTTACTAATTTCCGGGCAACATATTTATGCTGTTTTTTTATTTGAGATGGAAAGAATACAATGCAATGAGTTAGATCAAGTTAAAAAGATTAAATAAAATAGGTTATATTTTATAATTAGTTACTTTACATTCCACTTTTGGACAATCAATACTTTTGGCTAAGAGGGTGACTCATGGTAAGACAAAATTAATGCGTCAAAGTGTCTAGAAACCAAAAGTAGGGCAAATAATAAATAAAAAAGATAAAAAGTGGCAGGAGAGTGAGATTAAACAAACAAAGAGTTGAAGATTTCTGTTTACATCCCAGTGAGGGAAATATAACCCAGAAAGCAGTACTATTGTTTACAAGCTTCAAAATGTTGCAAAAAATTAGGCTTGTTTGATGTTCTGAATATGTGAAAATGAACATATATATATTTATGTCAAAGTGTTATTTCTCATATTTCATATAAAGTAGAGTTTGTGGATAAAAGGAAAGAGTGCAGGTGTTTGGATGAGCTTCCGTTCACTCCTCCTGGAAGAGTGGTTCCTGTGGTTGCTATTGATCTGTTTTAACCTACTTAAAGATGAGACAGGACACTGACTGAAACAGGCACAGGCCCGTTCCTGCATACACATCAACACACACACAGCTGAGACAGAGAAACATCAATACAACCGCAGACTTCTTAAAGACATCCCTAATAATCACCTGAGAGGAATCAAACAGCCTGCTCAGTTTTTGCCAAACAACAAATAAACAAAACAAAACCGCAACAAAAGAGTAGACAGAGGATTACCCAATCCACTTGCAAGGTAATTAGCTTTACCGAAACAAGGGTGGTTGACTGGGGAAATGGTGAGGAAGGGGAGGAAGAGAGGATGACGGGTGGAGGCAGGAGGAGAGAAAACAAGTCTGACCTCATTTTTAGACCTGCCTTTTGTTTGCGTGAAAGAGGGAGATGAAGTTGGGATTGAGGGGGTTTCACCTGACATCACAACAGGGAAAACCACTTGTGATAAACAAAACACACACAGTAGAAATGTTCATGGTGGGATTCTTAAAATTTTTATGACATAAAAATAAATAGCAGAAAATGAACCATCTTCTATCTATGAACACATTGTACAACTGGTCAGCTGTGAGAAGATGTTTGAAGATGAAAAACTCCTTCAGGATTGATGTTTCTACAGCTAGAAAATTAAGGTTTTAAAGAGTGCAGCAGCTGCTTGACAGCAGTTATGGACGCAAATAAAAAAAATCACTCGTTCCACACTTTTACCACTACAGAAAGAACATATATTACACCACTAAAATGTGGCACTGCCATTATAAACACTTTTTTCCCTAGTATGATCTGACCAGGACTGTGGATGCAAAGGTGCAGAACATTTCTGGTGAAGTTGCCATAGAAACTTTCTTTGGGATTTTACAAACTACTTTAAATTGGAAACTTTTTTCAGAACCATATTAATCTATTAAACAAGAAACTGGGAGGATAAAAGAAAAAAAAAGAAAAAACTAGATAGGTTTTTGTTATAAATATAATAAAAAAAATTATTAAACTTTATTGATCTCACACATTGGAGAAATGTATCTCTGCATTTAATCCATCCCCTTGGGGAGCAGTGGGCTGCCATTGTGGAGCAATCAGGGGTTAAGGGTCTTGCTCAGAGACCCAGAGTGGCAGTCTGTGAACTCAGTAACTTAGAATTTGTAGCTCTATGAACTGACCACTAGGCCGCCACTCCCCTTTTTATAGCCATATTCATGTACAAAAATCCTATTACAACCATTGCAGCAACTTTCAATCCATTCATCCACTTCTGTTGGTTAGGCCCTTCTTTAGGAAAGCTAAACAGCCTTAGAGACCTTTTGCAGCAAAAAGAAACACAATTTCAGCAGCTAAAAAAGGAACGGTTGCTGTCACTATGCAGATTTGTTGCTAAAAGAGCCAATTCATCTGAACTTTGAACTGAAATGATCAGGCTCTACTTAACAACACCGCTCACTAATCACAGAAAATCTGTGTTTTCGGGGCAGTTGCAGTGCTGACATGTTACAGTAGGTGCTTCCTGGAGGGGGGCAAATAATCACTGTGATGGCCCCTCATTTCTTCTGGACATGTAAGGGCTTCTGCACAGGGACTAGATAAGCATTATTAAGACATGAGTGATGCAAGTGAAATACCACTTTGATCATGATTTTGAGGAAGAACAGAATATCTCTGCCCTTAAAACTAACTTGTGCACCTGGTAAACAAACACACAGTGTGTGTAGTGAGCACTGCTTCAATAATCAGGAAGAAAACATAATTGAGGGAGTTTAAAAACTCACCTTGATTTGTTTTTTTTTTCTTTATAATCTATAAATTCCTAATTTTTAAATTTCCAAGAACCCTGCATTAAATCTTCTGACCGTTTCAAGACAAACATGTCTTACCATCAATGAATATACAGAAAGTTCAACTTATTTATAGAAGCTTAGTGAAACACTTTAAATTCTTGTAAAAAATCGAAATAGTAAACAAACTGCTCTGCACCAAAGGCCACAAACTAGTATTTGTTAGTGGCTGCACAAGAAAGATTTGTTTAAAAATGTGTCATGTAGCCACCTGTCATATGCTGGGAGAATTTTACTGATTGAAATGAAAATGCGGATGCAGTCAAACCTGCATACCTGGGATTCGTGGACCCTTCAGAGGGTTGGAAAGCGCCATGCCGATCTCGGTCATGCCGTAGCGTTCCAACAGCGTGTGTCCTGTGATCTCCTCCCAGCGCTGCAGGGTGGGCAGAGGGAGAGCAGCTGAGCCTGAAACCATCAATCTGAAAGGAGAAACGGCACAAACAATCCAAATAAAGCTATTGATTTTTCTTGGAGAAAGATATATAAAAAGACTGCAGGACATGGAATAAAAAATAGTGTTAACTTTCATGAACAAAAGAATTAGACGGTTTGATAGATGCACTATAGGTTAATAAACAAATAGTCTGAGGTTCAGATGCTGGCAGGCATGTGTTGTACATGCAGCTGTAAAAACAATAGTGTTAATGGTTTCACCTCTAATCCCAGTCTGTAGCTACAGCAAGCATCTGTTGGGATGAAGGCTCATTGAGACAGTTTAAGGAACCCTTGATGTTAGAAAGAACCAATTAATGAAAACCTGATATTTTCACTATATACTAAAAAGAATTTGGCATAACTGTTAATATAAGAGAGAACAAACAAATAGTGATCATGCACTTTGGTTGCACTTTAGTATCCAATTAGATATAAGCGAGTCCCACAGGAAAATAAGCTGAGTCTCCCTGAAGTGAAAATGAAGTGAAGATTTCAGCAGCACATTCTTAGCAAAGATTGTTGCATTATTAATTAGTTTCTGAATTTAGTCCCCACTACGCCAAATTTCAGGCTGCTTTGCTGATTTTCTATAAGCCTATCAGCCCTTTGACTGACAGCTGGGCGCCTTACCCCAGGGATCTGTTCAGGGCATTTCAACACTAACGCTGGTTATGTGTGAAATCAGGCCAATACAACATTGCAAACAGTGTTTTTAAACACTGGGCTAATCAATAAAGCTTGGAACTCAACGCTAATTCTGACATTTTGAATTAAAAACACTTCCTGGATGGGAAGCAAAAAGTCTTCAAACTTGCAAACAAAGTCTAGTGGATTGTTTTTAAATTTATTTATTTTTTTATTACTCCTTATTTGCACATATTGATGAGAAAAGTGCTGTGAAAATGTGATGCCCGCTCCTCACTTGAGAAAGAGATACTAAATCTCAGTTAAATCTACCGGTACCTGGGTGTGCAAAATCAGAGGGCAGTGCATGCAACCTTTAGTTTTTGCAAGCCTTCATAATCATGCAGATCATACTTCATTGTTAAACTCCACAAATGCTATGAGTGGAGGATATGCAAATACAATACTTAAAAACTGCAAAGCAATTCCACAAACCCAGCAGTAATTGTCGGCACAGTTTTTGAGATTAGTTTTAGCACGTTCGAAAGCCCGGTGCAAACCCATAGGCAGTCATTGTGGCAACAAAGGAGATTAGTACAACGACAGAGGATGGAAAGATATTCTGTGAAAATGTAAACAATTGGTAGCGTTCACAGTAGTATACATGAATGCAGCTGAAGGCAATTCTATATGAAACTAAACCAAACCAAAGTTCCCCTCTCTAACTTGGGAAGGGAAGATATTCTATTTCCCACAATGTTCTATAAGCGCTTCTCAAGAAGCATATTTTTGTTTTATTTAGTTATTATGGGCCTACACTGTTTTGAAGTATAATGGATCAAGCCGCTGTCTGAGGAGTCGCTGGAGGTTAATCAAGCTGTTTAATCTAGACGAATCTGGCTGTAAAGCTGACAGAATGTTACCGATAAAGACAACCTCTCCAGGCTTAATGATACATTATGTTTTCTATTTATCCTTGATTAGTTTAATCTCTTTTTTACTTTTGCTTGTAGCACATTGAGATACTTGTCTAAAGCACACTATTAAAAAAAAAAATCATCATCGTTATTTGTGTTTTATTTCTTAAATACTAATCATGATCACCTGGAATCTTTGAAGATTAGGACCATAAACTTCATATCCAATATATATGCACTTTATACAAAAGGGCCGTGTCACTGATGTGACAGTACTGGATGTTAAACTAAATTAGCTTAATGTCTCTAAATGTGCACCTACATATTCATGCCAAAATTCAAAATTAAAGGCATTTTAATCCATTTTGGATGAGCCCCAAATAAGTACCTGATTCTCTCTTTGCAAACTGCCTTGACAAAATCCTTGACATGAGGCTGTGTGAAGTGCTGATCATAGTACTGGATCAGCTTGGAGTAAATAGTGGGCACGGCCATGAACACATTAACCACTGGAGCCTTGAAGCTCAGGAGCATCTCCCACACCTGGGGAACACAGAGAGGGAAAGAGTCAGGCTGAGATAAGGAGAACGCATTGCTGAAATGGGAGAAAAAAAAATGATAAGGAAAGGTTAAGAGAGAAGCAGTGACTGCAACAAAGGGAGCAATGAAAACTAAATTATAACATCCAGATTTATTCCATTAGTGCTACGGAAAAAACCCCCGACATCTTATCCTTTCATTTGATGTAAATGGCAGAGTAAAGTCTGTGGCAGCCTCATATTAAACCTGTCAACACAATGTCAGAAAAAGACAAAAAAAAGTCAAGCTTTGTAAAGGTCAGGAGGAAGGAAACAGCCAACTGCTGAAGGGCAGAGCAGCAACGATGACCAAACAAAGACCTGCCGTACCACGCTTCTTTGACTAATGGCTGATGTTAAGAATGGATGCATTTTACTAAAAAAAAGGCAATAAGTCAAAGCGTGCACTTTACATACCTGTCATATAAATATTGAGGAAAAGTCACATCAGAAGGAGCACAACAACGCTTCTTACAGGGTACCTATAGCTGAAACAGCAGCTCATTCACTGTATGGATTAGGTCAGGCCATTAATTGGATTAATAATACTACAACTATATCAGAAACATTAAGTAACTGCTGGAGTCATGGAGTATATGGAGTATAATTAGATTAGATACCTAGGCATTCAGTTGGCACCCCTCAACTTAATATACTTCTTATCCCTTGACTTCCAAATATATATATAATGTATCCACACACATTTGGACATGAATTTGCAATTATGGTTGTCAAGGAATTAATAACACCACTTTCACATTTTAATAAAAGAAACCACTAAGAATTGTAACAAGCGCAGGTATAACTGAGAGATTAGCGTGAGTGTGAATACGTAGATCAATTAGGCAAGAAGCCTAGTTAAGACAACGGCATACCTCTAATCTATAACTGCAGCTCTGCACCATAAACATCTTCATTAGCCGTTCATATTCAATATGCATCCAATAACCAGATAAAATAGCACATAAAGCATGGTAATATATCACTATTAGAGATGCTGGTTATTTATGAACAAATTGCTGGCGAAGATTCTCAGTCACCCAGGTCATAGTGATTCCAAAGAAGTAAAAAAAAAAACATCCACTGGACTTCAAACTTGGAAACAAAGTCCAGTGGATTGTTTTTTTTTTTTTTACTTTTTTGGAATTATAAACAAATTCCATCGTTCTGCCTCTGTGCAGTTAGTATCTCCATTTAGTATCAACCATTAAAGCCAGAAAATCTTTTAACAAAAGCAAATTTAAAATGCAGATTGTAGCTAGCCCCTTGTTAGAACCTGTCTTGGAAACCTTCCAACGATGGACGCTTAAGTTCGCATCTGCTTTGCATCATCCTTTATCCTCCATTAAACATCTGCGGTCATTTTAATGACTAAAAAGAAACAAAATGAGAGAATTATATAAATTATATATGTATGTTCAGAACAGCATGTTTTTAAATGTTTGATCAACTCTTTGTCATTTTTAAAGTGCATTTAAAGCAGTGTTCATTATCAAACAAAAGTGCTCTTGGGGGCCCCCTGCTGGTGTGTGGTCCTCGGTTCGGGTCCTAAAGCACCACTGCCCTGCATGTTTTAGACATCTCTCTGTTTCAGCACACCTGATTCAAATCATTTTTAAACTGCATAGACTCCTCAGCAGCCACCAAGTGCTGCAGATGGCCGATTCATTTAACCGAGGTGTGCGACACCAAAGGGGCCTCTAAAACATGCAGGGCAGTGGTACTTGAGGAACAGGATCGAGAACCACTGTGCTAGACCACATATTTAGCTGTTAAGCATTACTTTCACTTTTAAGGCTGTTAGTTACTTTAAAGCTGTCTGCAAAATTTCCATTACAACAATGAATGACTCCTGCACTAAAAATACATTTTAATTATGACATATATCCATTTTTCTAGAACACCCTGAACCTGTGTGAGGATGCATCAGAGTTGGACACCATGCAGTAGCTGAAGGGAACCAAAGAGCTTCTCTAAAGTTTATCTTCATTCATAAGAGGGGGGAAATTATTCTCTTTTACCCCTCTCCATTTTCACTTTACTTATCCTCCCTTCTTCTGTGCTCATTCTGTTTTAATTTCCCAAGTGCTTCATCTTCATTCCCTTTTCTCATCCCTGACCTCACACATTCCTCTCATCTTTCTCTCTCACCCCTACCTCCTCCTGCTATCTAACATTCACTTACCTTCTCTCTACATTTTGTAATTTCTTGCTCCATCGCCTCTGCAGTCTCTCCCATATACATCCACACCTGGATATGTACTCACAGAGAAAAATGCACCTTCTCCAGCTATCACTTCCACGTTCAGCAACACCACTTTTTCCATCAAGTTACCTCATTGATTCACCTTTTTATTATCTATAAAACTTCATCTGACTTTTCCTCATCTCTAAAAAATTAGCTATCACAAAAAAACAGAAGATATGCTGACAACATAATCAGAAGCCGATCTGGAAGCTAGAGAACATAAAGTAAACCTGGTTTTGAACAGAAAGAAGGATGATTAACTGAGCGTGCTCTGACCACTCTGGGATGTGTCTATCAAGTGCATTGAAGCGCTTCAACAAAGTTCACTCCGAAATGGAAGAGAAGGTAATTTATGTCTATCAAGGAGCTGGTCTCCACCTAGGGGACGAGATCTGCTGAGGACCCCCAGAGCTGCAGCCTGCATCCTAAACAACTTCTGTTTGCCGAAAGCTCAGCTTTGCCCTCAATGCTGGAGCCAGACTGGGTGTCAGTGTGCAGCAGCGCTGACAGCTGACCCGCTGTCCATAACTTCAGTTTCCTTATTCAATAACGACCTGCTACAACTTGGGGAAAAAAAATCCTTCAAATTTGCAGCTATCACCCTTAAGTGATATAGTTTTAATACACTGGTTTGGGTAAAGAATCCATTTCTGCAAGTGACATGTTTATATTTATTTAAAAATTATTTTAAAAGACTGTACTTACTGTTCACGTCCAGGTTGGAAGAATTTAACAAACTGATCAAATATAATATAACCAGCTATTCTAATTGTCTTTACTTGTCTAAAGCAGCAATCCTGAATAATGAAAGCTTTTAAGCTTTTATAATACTTATATAAACAGTGAGTTCTTTTTAAACTCACAAATTTTGTAGTGCTTTTAGTGACTCTATAGCTCATCAATCCTTTTCACAGAAACATTTACAAACATTTACCCATAAAAAAACGCCATTTTTTAAATTTATTTATTTCATTGTGTTTTTGCATCTATATGAAAAAAAAAACGAGAACTCAGAGAGTTATTTATGCATAAACTGGGTCAATTCTGCAATCCATTTAAAATCTGTCGGAGTTAAGTAGCCTGCATGTCTATCAACGAGCCAGCCACAAATTTGTACAGTAAGTGATTGATCCAACTGATTAATTAAAAAAAATAAAGAAATTACACAAATAATGTTATAAAATTAAAATCAGCAAATAAATTGTCTAAATTGTCATCCATCCATCCATCTTTAGCAATATTGATCCGCCGCACTCTAAAGCTTCAATAATTACTGCTATTACCTATACTGAGCATTTCTCAATGGCTGTATATAGAATAAATGTTCAAAGATAAGACCTTGAATTGGAACTATAGAAAAATAACCTAAGGTTTTCCAAGCTGAGTGCTCATCAGTCTCTCATCAAGGTCACTTTGGTAAAACATTGTTTTTAGGTAAAAAAAAAAAAAAATGCTCCTTCCCTTTGTCTTCTGGAATTTCTAACACTTCAGTATTTTTGCTTAACACCATAAAAGGTGATGCCTTTTACAGTGTGTTTGTTTTATTCCATTGCAAAATAACACAGAGCATATATATATATTTTTTTTAAATTAATGTTTCAAAGTAAAGTCGAATGAACGCAGTCGTGCACTCAGCTTTTAAGGTTAGTTTTCAAAGCTCTCAAAGGAAAAATGATTGTTCATGTTATCGAGCTGGAACCTGAAGAGTTTTTTCTGCAAAGAAAAACAACAAATAAACTGGTCCCTGGTGTAAAAGGCTGAATTTTGTACGATTGTTTCTATATCCCATTTATTTTTTTATATTATACTAAGTTCTTTACTTAAAGAGAAGCTTTCAAGTATCAACAAAGATGCACCTTTTTAAGCCACTCAACCCCCCCTCCACTCCCCACACTCACACTTCTACACACACACAGAGCTCACCCCCCTCTCAGGGCCAAACAAGCACTATCATCCTTCAATGTCATCTCATCGATTGATCTGCTGCTTAAGCCCCTGCCGTGAGTCGGCATTGGTCACATACAAAGCCACACAGGGCAATTCATCACTGAGCACCGAACGCTTAGTTTGACAGTCAGGAGGAGGAGAGCTTTATAAAAGGGGATGAGGGAGAAGAGATGAAGCAAGGACAAGTGAGGAAAGCAGAAAACCCGGAGAGGGAAAAGGACAGAAAGAGGACCTGATATGGAAACAGGATTGTTTAAATATCAAACCTTCTGAGGCTGGAATTCAGAAAGCATGACACAGGTGGCTCCCACCCAGAGGGGGCACAGCAGTTTGTTGACAATGCCATGAACATGGTGGAGTGGCAAGGTGTGGAGGATGATGTCGTCTTTAGTCCACGCCCACTCAGAAACCAAACACTGGACCTATAAGGTGGTAGAAACCCCCCCGCCAAAAAAACAAGGTGAGATCTGGTAATAAAAAAAAGATTTTGTGTGCTTCAATATCAAAAGTATCTGGAATGGCTGGTGGAAAAAACGAGTGGATTAAAATTATCTAATTTGCTGACAATGAAATCAAATTGCACAATATTTAAGAAAGTCTTTATCTCACAGCTTTTGATACAGAAAACTTCTGAGTCCCAACTAGGCCTGAAACCACTAATCAGATTAATCGATTATAGAAATAATCTTCAACTAATTTAGTGATCAATTAATCGTTAAATGGAGTATAGGAACTATTAAAACATGCCTTTAGCTGACAGAGCCACCCACTTAAAGCAGTAATTATATCAGGATTGTTCAAAAATATATGAACATTTTGCATTTAAGATTGAAAAACAACATTTTGGTCAGCCAATATGCTCAATTCCTCAGGTGGAAAAGTTTTAGTTTCACCAGGTTTGATATCGTAAAAAGTCCTCTTTAAGGAACCTTTGGCGATCCGCTTATGAATCCAATCATTGAAAAATAATCAACAGATAAATCAACTTGCAAAATAATTGTTAGTTGCAGCCCTAGTCCAGACCTTATTAGCTATCAAATAACAGAAAAAGTTAAAATCCAAAGAAAAGCATGAAGACCTATTTATAGAAGTACTTTTGATTACCAAAAAAAACTTCGATTTTGTGTAAAAAACAAGTAACAAATAAGTTTTGAAGACACATTTTTTACATCAGGAGTTTTCTCCATTACTTGGTAACAAATAGGATTAAAGAAAATTAATATTGTATCTCTACAACCCTTATTGGCATGTGTGCCAATGATACATACTACTTAGTGTAGTCAAAACCACAAAAAATATTTTATATTCTGTCATTCCCTGAAAGCAAATTACTGCCATCATTAAAGCTGCTCTGGACCAATTTACCAGCATGGAGTCACAACATGTTTAACTGTAATGGAAAGAGGAACAAAATTACAACCAAACATTTTCTTAAAGCAGCTGTCATAATTTAAAACAGTTTTTTTTTAATTGCTTCTAATATTTTTTTTAATCGTTCTTCCTAGGCTGAGCAGAACAACTGTTAGCACTTATCTTTCCTGAACAGTAGGGAGATAAAATACGATTTCAAATGAGAATAAGCATAGAAATCAGTTCAGAACTCCAGGACATAAAAGCCAATATGTTCAAGGTGAGGTAAACAATCAAAATTTCATTTATTCCTTCATTATCAAAAGCACAACCTTTTGATAATGAAAAACTCCCTGCCTTTCGTTGAAGGGAGGGGAGACGAGCGATGATTAGTCGCTGTGCACCTCTGCTATCTTTGGCAGCATCAGCAGTGCATGTGGAATGGAAAACTGAGCCGGCAAAAACATTTTTATCTTCTTGTTGAAAACGTGACATTTTTTCAGCAAAAACTGAAAAGAAATCCTGCAAAGACAGCTTCTGAGAAACAAAATTGTGTTTCTGGATTTTAAGTTACACAAAGAACTTATATTCACACCAAAGGCAAACGTTTTTCCACTTTAAAGGGTAAAACACAAAACATTTCCCAAAAACAATGATTGACATTTCATTATGAAAAGCCATTATCCACCAGAACATGGTCACAATGTCTTTTAGTGATTCAAGTTACATAAATGTAGGTTGTTTTTTTTTAAGTGGTCTACGTTTTATCACTGGGAGCCTTGTCGATAGCACACCCAGGAACACTAAACTTAATATTTCTTAATTCAAATCAATTTACCAACAGCACTTTCCAAGAATCCTGACAGTCTATTGGCCGTCCCTTCCAGGAAATCAATCGCTCGCTCATTCATCAGGTACAGTAAGAATCAGCTGGAGCTCTGCCTCGGTTCAGAGTGATTTCATTAACCAGGCGGCTGGACAATTAGGCTTCATTTGACTATAAATACTCAGAAAATTTCTCTCTTGACTTTGAACGGCATAAAGAAAAATCTTTTCATTGTTTCTAAATGTTTGTTTCATTCCATCATTGGAACATAAATATGTGTAGCTCTATTATATGTAAGCATTTTATGGTAGATTCTAAATAATGCAGCTTAAAACCTAAAGAAAACTGCAGGTTATTAGACTGAATTTGTCATTTTGTACACACCAAGTGTAGCAACAACAAAATTACGTTGCTTACAGCTTCCAACAGTGAGGTAAAAGGAAATTATTTCTTTCAACTTTACCGCTGACTTCGATGTTTGGATATATTTTAGAGGTATGTTAATATAGTAAAAAAAAAAAATTTACATATTAAAGACCATATGTAAAATTTATTAAAAATGATGCCAAGCAGTGAGATAAGTTTTGCGAAACTGAGTAACGTAAAGTCTAAAGGGCTCTATTTCTAATCCCCATTTTAAAAGTTACAAAAGTTCTTAATTCTTTAGAAAAACTAAAAATGAAAAGAAGAAAAACTGCTTATTTCCTTTTGGTTCATATAAAATGTCCATCTTAGAGTCATATCTTTCCCTAGGCTAATTTTCCAGTTCAGTTCAAGATCAGTTTACATAACAGTCTGGATTCAAACCATTTTGTTAACTAAATGGGATGAACTATTTTTTTTTTTTTTTTTGCCTTTATTGCCATTGAAACAATGTAAATTAATTCATTTGAATGAGAAAATTGTACATTTTACTGAAAGATATCTTAAAATAGCCTTTTTATTTTAACCTTTACGACTAAAACAGTTTGATGAGCAGACTGACACCTCAGTACATCAGCACCCATGCATCTATAAGCCTGTAGCCTATTTTTCCTGAATTAACTTCAGGTCGGAAGTTCCTGCGCCGTTTCTGAGAATGTGACATCAAGTAAGTCAATGTCAAATGGTCCAACCTTGCAAACAACTGAAGAGTTACAATCAAGTTTGATTTTGTGGATACCCAGAGGTGACCAGCATCCAGCTCAATTCAGACAGCAACGGCAACTCCCTACATACACATAAGGTTAAAAAATATATAAAATAAATTAAATTAAATAAAAAAAAAAAAAACTGGTCAAGTTCTGTGGTTACTATGGCTGGGTATTTTCGCAAAAGTCCTGAATCGATTCGATTTTGATTCATACAGTTCTAAATCGATTAATTTCGATTCTGTTTTTACAACAATGAAAGTGGTTCAACTGTGTTTCAAAATACTCATGTATTTCATTTTTTCCTGTCATATTAAACACAAAGTGCAAACTTGTGTTTAATATGACATTGATTAGGTCAATTTTTTTACCCAGCCCTAGCGGTTACAACACAGGTGGCAATATCATCAGAAAATGTTGTCATGCTTCTTTAAAATAAATGACACTTAAAGGAGCAATAAGCTAAATTTCTAACCACAGTTGGGGCATAATTGAGAATGTGACGGCCTCTTCCTCTAACGAAAAGGAAGAGGCGTTCAAAGTCATTCACTATGTTGCCATAGCAATGTGAATGACTGTAGCTCTGTGGCGCAGGTTGATAAGACATTACATTTTTGCCCCTTTCTTTAAGATACATTCCTAAAATCATAAAAAAAAAGGCTATTTTAAAGAGTAACTTTCTTTTTTGAAATAATGACATCTTTGTTTATTTTTCCCAACTTGGGACTTTCTGCAAACCAGCGGAACTTACATTTTAACGTTTTCTTTCCTCCCCCAATAGTCGCTGCTCAATCCCTGCGAGTCTGCACTTATGCAGACTCCCTCTTTAAAGTCTGAACGGTCCCCTCACCCTACGCACTACGTGGTTTGGGACGGCCCTTAATGAGTCGGACCCAGCTGGGGATGGGCAAACAGAGGGTTAATGCTTAGGGGAAGGGTTCTCTGACCCGAATCCTGACATGTCCCCCCCCGGAGAGACATGTCTAGTGAAGAAGTACGCAACTCATTTGACAAAAGATCATCCTCAAATGTGATTTAAATCCGCTGGATGTGCTTTCCACAATTTTGCTCCTACACTAAGCTGTTCTCTCTTGGCAGGGAGGGACTATTTGTAAAGACAGTGCCTCGGCTTGTAAATATACCGGTAAGACTGGAGAACAACACAGAGGAATGGTGTGTGACGTCATACCATATTCCATCTGAAAAGTTACCTTTGGTTCTTCACATCACTACTCTCTTTTCCCTATCTAAGCTACTCTATTGGTTACTGTTCCTTTAACACTCAGTATTGGAGTAGCTACACACCTTAAGATTATCTTAATCAAAGTTTGTGAGCTGTTGAACTGTTTTAGTTAGTAAACCAGGAAAAAAAACGTATAATTTCAAGGCTTTTTATGGCATTTAGGAAAACTTTCCTTTGGTCCTTCACATCACTACTTTTCTTTTTTTAAGCTAATTATTGGTTTCTGTTCCTTTCACACTTAGTATTGGAGTAGCTACACACCTTTAGATTATCTTCATCAAAGTTTGTGAGCTGTTGAACTGTTTTAGTTTGTAAACCAGAAAAAAACATATAATTTCAAGGGTTTTTATGGCATTTAATGGCAGTTTGAGAACCACAGGTGCAAGTTAAAACCCTGATGTCAGAGTGCCTGGAGCTTTTCTTTTGATTTCTTTTGAACCTTACATATGCATTTATCTAAGGGTTGTGTCTGCAACTTAAAAACCATCTACTTTATGTGGAAATATGATGCATTGAATAATTCTACATTAATAAATTAAACTATGATTTTATATTTACCTGAAATATTGTCTGGAATAATAGTTTTTGTGATGATTAAAAACATTTTAGTTCAGCAAACAAACAAACATTTCAGGAGAAACATCACACAATGTTATCAGGTTCATGGCACTTATCACTGTTTATACAAAATTAAAGTCACTGGTTACCATGGCTTGAATGCTGCTGTGTGTGTGTAGGACCCCTTTGGGGCGCCCTGTGGTACCGCTGGTGTAGATGATCATAGCCGGTCGACCTGCCCAGTCTGAGATGACATTCTCCTCCTCAACCGAAGGAGTAGCAACCTCAGCTAAAGTGTAAAGGTCAGGTGCAGGAGGAAGCGTCAGCAGAGGAAGCCCCAGCTTCTGTGCCAGTGGTTGGAGGGTTTCTCCATAAGGGTGTGCTGCTACAAGCAGTGATGTCTGGGAATCAGAGACGATGTACTCCAATTCTGAAAGAGGGTGTTTCCGGTAGAGTGGCACCGCCGTCCCACCGCTTATCCAAGATGCCCACTGTGCCACCACATAGGAAGCATCGTTTGCACACAGGAAGGATATTCTTCTTCCATCCAGATCCCCAAAACTGCAGTTTAAGGTTGTACTGATTCTACTTGCGAGTCCCAAGCTGCTGCAGTACAGCTGCTTGTAGCTGTGCCTCCCTGTGCTGTCTACAATTGCAAGCTTTTCTCCAAACCCAAGAGCTCTAGTGAACACAGGCCTCGGGTTTATCTTCCATGATGGAGCAGTAGTCTGTGTGCGAATGCTTCTTTGAACTGGCCATCCTAATGACCACCGTCCCGGAAATAATGGGTAAGCCTTTCTGGTCAGGCTTACTTTGGTGTGAAGAAAGGTTTCCTTTAGAGGATGTTTAGCAAAGGTAAACAGTACAGACATTTCTAAAACTTAGTTGCTCTCTACCCCCTGGAGTTTACATGTATGAGACAGCTCCATCCGCAGTCCGGACAATATAGCACTCATATTAAACAATAATCTGGGAGATGAAAAGAGAAAAATATTTTGATTAGTCTTATGAAGTAGAATTGAAAGCGTTATTCATTTATAAAGACTCCATAGTTAACAGTAAACAAAACAGATATACAAAAAGATTGTGCCTCTAGTATCTCATCTGTTTGAGTTAATAACCATGAACAACTTAGGGAAAGTAAGAAAGTACAAGTAAAAGTACAACAAAGACCAGAGCCACCTTCTGAGGAGGCTGAGATTCTTTGGAGTGTCCAGGCTGCTGCTTAAAACCTTGTATGACTCTGTGGTGGCATCAGCCCTCTTCTACGCTGTTGTCTGCTGGGCCCCTGGCAGCACAGAGTGGGACAGAAAGAGATTAAATAAGCTAGTGTGAAAGACAGTTTCTGTCCTAGGCTGCACTCAGCCTATTGAGCCGATGTGACAAGTGAATTTCTCCACTGTGAGAACAATAAAGTATATATATAAGTATTTCTCAACCATCACAAGCAATCATCTGGTAATTTATTCCCAGATAGACTCAGTTTGACCACATCCACACTGTGCTTGCTGGGATAAGGCAATGGAAAATCCACACATTAGACATTGACTTCCAAGATTTTGCGTTAAAATTTGAAACAGTGGCTAAGAAATAAGCAATTTTACTAGACATATGCACTTAACACTGGAATTTTTTGCGTTTCGTTAGAGCAGTGAGCTCTAAACTTAAGTTTCATTATTATGCCGTTACTTTTCAGCGTGACAGTGAGGAAACAGGGAAACATCAGCTGCTTTTGGTGCCATTACTACCGGGTGCTGACCATAATGCAGGTGCCACCAGCACGTTTCCTTTTATTTAAGTAAAAACGTAAACATTTATAGAGGGTGTGGTACGGAAATCTCAGTTGAGCAGAAAAAAAGAGTTTACAATCACGCGATGATATTAGAGCGTGAGTATGCCCACATAACCATTCAAAGATAGATTTTTCCTCGTTGTATTACTCCCAACTCACCTCAAAACAAAGTGAAGGACGGTGTAGCGCCGATAGTCTTCCGGTAGGAAACAAGGATAACGGAGTAGTTCCTATCCTATTCTTTCTTTCTTTCTTTCTTTCTTTCTTTCTTTCTTTCTTTCTTTCTTTCTTTCTTTCTTTCTTTCTTTC